ACCACAGGTGCATGCCATCATGCCCTGCTAATTTTTTGATTTATGGTAGAGATGAGGTCCCGCTAAGTAGCCCAGACTGGTCTTGAGCCTGTAGGTTCAGCCATCCTCTTGCCTCAGCCTCCAAAGTGCTGGGATTACAAGCATGAACCACCACACTCAGCGGTTTATTCATTCTTTTTTTTTTTTAATGTAACAGCTTTATTAAGATATAATTCATACACCATATAATTCACCTACTTAAGTGTGTAAGTACAAGAGAGTATCCAAAGAAAACCATAATTATCTTTTGGAGGGTGGGCCCCTTGTAATACAGGCTTTCCCCACTAGGTAAGTGTTTTAGGAAACCGACATTCAGTGTACCCGCTAGCATTGCTGTGAGAGGCTGTGTTCAGCTTCAGTGAATTTTTCTTGGAGATAATTTCAGCGCATTTGCCCATTTCTTGACGGGCGATTTACAAGTGCGCCTGTACACACTGAGCTGAGTGTTCAGCAATTTTTGACCAAAAATGGCATGACCCTATACCCTACCCCCCCCATCTGATATCACTCCAAGCAACTTCTTTGTTTCCCCTGATTAAAGGTGTTCTCAATGGGAAACATTCTGGTGATGTGGAAGAGGTGAAACAGAAAAAATACAGGACTAAAAGTCATCAAAATTGACGAATTCAAAAACTGAAGCAGTGGAAAAAGCATCTCGATAAGTGTATTGCATCAAACTAAGAATACTTTGAAGGTGACTGAAGTTTAAGGGTGACCTGCTGGGCTCAGGTGATCGATCCTTCTGCCTTCGCCTCCCAAGTAGCTGAAACTTAGGCACGCACCACCAAGCCCGGCTAATTTTTTTATTTATTGTAGAGATGAGGTCTCACCAAGTTGCCCAGGCTGGTTTTGAATCCCTGGACTCAGGCAATCCTCTTACCTCGGCCTCCCAAAGTGCTAGGATTACAGGCTTGAGTCACTGCCCCCAGACCACATCTCCTTTCTAATAGCCCCAGGAATGTGGGGATCCCAAATATTTTCTCATTAACCTGTCATTTTCAGAGTTAAGCATAAATATACAATTTTTATAAATAAATTCCGGATTTGGGGGGTTCCTCGTCGTATATTCACAAGGTTGTACAGTCATTGCCCCAAAAAGAAACCCCATACTCTTTAGCTATCACCTCCCAGCCCTAGGCAACCACTAATTTACTTTCTGTCTTTACAGATTTGTCTATTCTAGATATTTCATATAAATGAAATCATACAATATAAGGTCTTTTGTGACTGACTTCTTTTACTTAGCATAATGTCTCTAAGGCTCATCCAAGTCGTAACGTGCCATTACTTCATCCCATTATTGACAAATAACCAGTCTAGTAATGATTTAATCATGATATGCTTTTTGAAATTAAGCAGTAATTCACATACCATAAAATGTATCAGTTTAATATACACAATTTAGTGGATTTTAGTAATCCACGAGGTTGTGCAACCATCATTACTATCTAATTCCAGAATGTTTTTGTCATCCCAAAGAGAAACCCAATATGTATTAGCAGTTATACCTCCTTCCCCCATTCCCTTAATTCCCATTAATCTACTTTTATGTACTCATGGATTTGTCTGTCCTGGACATTTTATATAAATAAAGTCATGCAGCATGTGGTCTTTTGTGACTGATTCATCCATGGTGGAGCAGATACCAGTGCTTTATTACTTCTTATTGCCAAATAATATTCTATTACATGCATATACCATGTTTTATTTATCCATTCATCAGTTGATGGACATTTGAATTCTTTCTGCTTTTTGGCTGTTTATCAGCAATGCTGTTATAAACATTTATGTACAAGCTTTTATGTGGACATATATTTTCCCTTTTTTTGAGTCAAGTTCTCACTCTGTTGTTCAGGCAGGCAGGAGTGTAGTGGCACAATCCTGCCTCACCACAGCCTCAACCCTCTGGGCTCAAGCAGTCTTTCCACCTCAACCTCCCAAGTAGCTGGGACTGCAAGCGAGCACCAGCACACCTGGCTAATTTTTTATTTTTTGTAGAGACAAGATCTCACTATGTTGCCCAGGCTAGTTTTGAACTCCTGGGCTCAAGCCATCCTTCCACCTCGGCCTCCCAAAGTGCTAAGACAACAAGGTTCAAGCCAGGTACCATGCCTGGCTTCCTTTTTCTTGAGTATATACCTAAGAGTGAATTATTAGGTCATGTGACAACTCTATGTTTAATCTTTGAAGAGCAGCCAGATTGTTTTCCATAGTGTCTGCACCGTTCTGCATTACTACCTGCAATGTTTGAAGGTTCCTATCTCTCCATATCTTCACCAACACTTGTTATTGTTCATCTTTTATATCTTAGCGATCCTAGTAAGTATGAAATGGTAATCTCATTGTGGTTTTGATTTGCTTTTCCCTAACAACTAATGATATTAATCATCTTTTTGTTGTTGTTGTTTATTGGCTACTTGTATGTCTTCTCGGAGAAAAGTCTATTTAACTCTTCATCTACTTTTAGCTGGGTGTAGTGGTTCACACCTATAATCCCAGCACTTTGGGAAGCTGAGGCGAGAGAATTGCCTGAGTCCAACTTGGCAAGACCTCGTCTCTATAGTAGATCAAAAAATCAGCCAGGCATGATGCCACGTGCCTATGGCTCCAGCTACCTGAATGGCTGAGGCAGAGGGATCGCCTGAGCCTAGCAGGTTGAGGCTGCAGTGGCTGTGAGTGTTCCACTGCACTTCAGCCTGGGTGACAGAGTAAGGCTCCTACTCAAAAATAAATAAATTAAAAAAATTTAAAATAAAACATTTTGCCTACTTTTAAATTAAATTAGGGTTTCTGTCTTTTTATTAAGCTGTAACAGTTCTTTATATATTGTATATCAAATACGTGATTTGCAAAACTTTCCATGTTATAGACTACCTTTCTTTTTTTTAGGATTCCACATGTAAGTGAGAACATGTGGTATTTGTCTTTCTGTGCTTGGCTTATTTTACTTAGTATAATGGTCTCCAATTTCATCAGTGTTTGTCAGAAGTGACACAGTTATCTTCTTTTAAAGGCTGAATAGTATTCCATAGTGTGTATATATCACATTTTCTTCATCTATTCTGTTGATGGACACTTAGGTCGATTCTATAACTTGACTGGTGTGAAGTGTTGCAGTGAACATGGGAGTGCAGATATCTCTTCAACAAATCAATTTCAAATCTTTTGGGTAAATAACCAGAAGTGTTATATGGTCAGTGGGATTTCATTTCAGATTGCTTGTTGCTAATGGATAAAAATACAATTGATTTTTTTATACTGAACCTGTATTCTGCAACCTGGGAACTCATTTACTAGTTCTAGTCGTTTCTTTGTAGATTTCGTAGAATTTTCTGTATATAAAATCATGTCATCTGCAAACAGAGATCGTTTTTTTCCTTTCTAATCTGAATGCTTTTCTTTTTCTTGCTTAATTGCCTTGTTTAGAATCTCTAGTGCAATGTTGAGTAGAAGTAGAGAGAGGAGACGTCCTCATCTTGTTCCTAATCTTAGAAGAAAAGCATTCAGTCTTTTACCACTAAGTATGCTATTAGCTGTGAGTATTTTGTAGAGACCCTTCATCAGGTTGAGAACTTTGATTTCATTCCTAGTTTGTTGAATGTTTTTATCTTGAAAGAGTGTTGGATTTTGTCAAATGCTTTCTCTGCATCAATTGAAATGATCATGTGGCTAGTGTTTTTTATTCTTTTTTTAATATGATATATATTAAACTTTGTTTTTTTGTATATTGAGCTATCCTTCATTCCTGGAATAAAGCCCACTTAATCATGGTGTATAATCCTTCATATGCTGTTGGATTTGCTCAGCTACTGTTTCACTGAGGATTTTTTTCATCAATATTCATAAGGAATGTTGGTTTGTAATTTACTTTCCTGTGATGTCTTTGTCTGGTTTTGGCATCAAGTAATATTGACCTCATAGAATGAAGTAGAAAATGTTTTCTTCTAATTTTACGAATAGTTTGTAAAATATTGGTTTATGCTATACTTTTAATCAAGGAAAAATAACATCTGCCCACTTCAGGTACCCAAGTAACTACTCAGCACCTCGAACCTTACCTTTGGTGGATATTGACTAAATTCCAGACTTTTGTGTTGCTAATGGACTTTTCCCAACTCCATCCCATTAAGGCTGGGACATTCATAAGTACTAATCCTTGGTAGTTTTCAGTGTAATGCTGGCTTTGTTTGTCATTCCATGCAGTGTTGTGAGAGGCTTTCTTTGAGAACCATTGTGTTCAAAGTACTTTACAGATGGCTTTGGAGACAGTGAAAAAATGAAGAAATTGTCTCTTAAAAGCTATTTTGGTAACTCCTTATTTTTTGTTTTGTCTTGTTTTGTTTTTGGACTTGGGGTCTCAGTCTGTTGCCTAGGCTAGAGTGTAGTTTTAAGATCATGGCTCACTGCAACCTCGAACTCCTGGGCTCAAGTGATCCTTTTGCCTTAGTCTCCAGGTAGCCCGGACTACAGGCATCACCACACCTGGGTGATTTTTAAATTTTTTGTAAAGACAGAGTATCCCTACATTGTCCAGGTTGATCTTGAATTCTTAGCCTCAAGCAATCATCCTGCCTTACTTTTTACTTTATTAAAAAGTTATGCAGAGCAGAACTGACTATTCCTTTGTTTTTTTTCTTGTTTTGGTTTGTTTTTTTTGTTGTTGCTGCTGCTGTTGTTTTTAGGGATGAGGTTTTGCTCTGGAGTAGCTGGGACTACAGGCACACCCCACTGTCTCCAGCACTTGCATTTTCAGCATTAGAAAGAGCTATTTTAATATTGTATTTTCCTAGGGCCATCCTGTGGCGATATGTCATTGATTCCTTTGTCATCTTGGATCCATACCTCAGAACTACATAAATGTATCACTTAAGACCAGAGTGAAAGCAAGGGGCGTGGTCCTTAGGCCACCACTGGGCATCATTCTGAATCCCCTTGTGATCCAGCCCACTTCTCGCCCACAGGTACCACGTACACAGACCTCTCGGCCGGAATCTCCAGGGATGACCAGCCCCTCCCCACGCATCCAGATAATCTCCACCGACTCTGCTGTAGCCTCACCTCAGCGCATTCAGGTACCTACACCAGTCCCACTTGATTCCAGCTACCTACCAGGAACCTTTCCTGCCCTGAATTCTTTCCAAAACAGACCTGCCTAAAGGTTTCACTAAGAAGTTATACCTCTTGGGCATCAGCTACAGTACAACCTCATTTATCTTTAAAAAAAAAAAAAAGGAAAAACATTTACATTCACTTAACTAACTTTTAAAACAAAAGTCTGAACTGTTATTTCAAACTATTGGGATAAATTACTATTTTATTAGTTGGTTGCTTCCAAGTTGAGAGAAAGTAAAGAGTAAGAGCCCTCACTTGAAGTCAAATTCAGCACCGCACTTACTAACTTTTTTGTCCTTGGACAATTAACTTTTCAGTAGTGTCCCACTTTTTTCATTCGGAAAATGTACATTATAGTAGTACGTGCCTCATAGGGTTATTGTGAGGAATCAATGAGATATTGCTTGTAAGGTGCTTACAGCAGTGTCTGGCACATCATGTTGAATATATGCTATGTACTAATTATCTACATATAATAACTATTATTACTTGCATTGTTATTCACTAATATTCACTTATAGGAAGTTAAGTCTTCCCCAGGGCTTGAACCATCTTCTGGTCCAGCAGGTATTTTTACTTACCCATTTGACAAAGAGAAGGTTTTTGTATGAAGCATATAGGCAACAAGCTAGGAGGAAAGGATGATATATTGATGACAGATTAAATATTCATTGCTTTCTCAGCAAGCTGAATCAAAAGGCCAACTATAACTGTTGATTTCTCTATTTCTTCTTGCAGTTTTATCAGTTTTTGCCTCACTTTGATGCTTTGTTGTTAGGTACATACCCATTTTTTATTGTTATTTCCATTTGGAGAATTGACCGCTTTCTTATTATGTAACAATTCCCTTATGCCCATTTTCCTTGTGCCAAAGTCTACTTTGTCTGAAATTAATATAGTTATTCCAACTTTCTTTCAAGTGTTAGCATAGTATACCTATCTTTTTTTTTATCTTTTTCTTTTTCTTTTTCTTTTTTTGGGAGGGAGTAGAGAAAGGCTGTCACTATACTCCCCAGGCTAGAGTGCAGGGGCTGTTCACAGGCAAGATCATAGGGCACTACAGACTTGAACTGCTGGGCTCAAGCATCCTCCTGCCTCAATCCCTGAGTAGATGAGACTACAAGCACACACCATGGCACACAGCTACTCCGTCTCTTTACTTTTAATCTATTTGTATCTTTATATATAAACTGAGTTTCTTGAAGATGTGTCTTGGAGTTTTTTCTGGGTTTTTTTGTTGGTGGTAGTGTTTTTCTACTTTCTGTATAATTGCAGAAGGGTGTTATTTTTTACCCAGCTGACAATCTCTGCCTTTTCATTGATGTATGCAGATCATTCATATTTAAAGTGATTATTGGTATGTTTGAATTTAATATCATCTATCTGTGTAACTACTTTCTATTAATTGCCAAAGGCTTCTTTTTCTCTGGTTTTGATCGAGCAATTTATATGATTCCTTTTATTTCCTCTCTTAATATATCAAATATACTTCTTTTAAAATGTTTTTGAGCCGGGCTCGGTGGCTCAGCCTGTAATCCCAGCACTTTGGGAGGCTGAGGTGAGTGGATTGCCCGAGCCTGCGGGTTCGAGACCCGCCTGGGCAACTTGGCGAGACTCATCTCTACAATAAATCAAAAATTAGCCGGGTGTGGTAGTGCACGCCTGTAGTTCCAGCTACTTAGAAGGCTGAGGCGGAAGGATCGCCACAGCCCAGCAGGTCGAGTCTGTGGTGGTCGGGAGCGGCCACTGCACTCCAGTCGGGGTGACAGAGTGAGACTCCAACTCAAAAAAAAAAATGTTTTTGGTTTTGTCCCAGAGTTTATACACATTTATATCTAATCTAAGTCTACCTGCAAATCACACTGCTGTTTCACATGTAATAGAGGTAGCTTATAACAGTATTTCCAACTCTTCCTTCCTGTCCCTTGTTACATTGCTATCACTCATTTCACTTATCCATATGCTCTAATTGACCCATATGTTAGAACCAATATTAATTTCATTTCAAGCTTTTATAAATTAAGAATAAGAAAATTAAGATTTTATTTTCCTTTCATTTTTTTTTTAAACAGCAGTCTTCCATTTTTTATGTAGATTCTGATTTCTGACTTACATCATTTTTCTCTGCCCAAAGAAAACCTTTTCACATTTCTCATAGGGGTAGGTCTGCTGATGATGAATTCCTTCAGTGTTTGTTTGTCTTAGAAGGTCTATTTCTCCTTCACTTTTTTGTTACTGGTTTTTTAAAAAAAAAAAACAGTTTTCAGTGAAATTCACTTAACATAAAACTAACCATTTTGAAGTGAACAATTTTGTGGCATTTAGTACATTCACAATATTGTACAACCCTCACCTCTAGTTCCAAACATTTTCATCATCTCAAAAGGAAATCTTATGTCCATTAAGAAGTTTCTGTGTGTTCCTCCTTTTACCCAGTCCCTGGAAACTACCAATCTACATTTTGTCTCTGGATTTATTAATTCTTGGTATTTCATACAAGTGGAAATGTACGATATGTGACAGTTGTCTCTGGCTTCATTGACATAGCATAATGTTTTACAGACTCATCCACATTGTCACATGCATCAGTACTTCCTTCCTTTTTATGGCTATCTAACATTAAATTATATGTATATACCACAATTTGTTTATCCATTCATTCATTGATGAACTCTCCTTCACATTTGAAGGGTACACTTGCCAAAATTAGAATTCTCTTAATAGTTTGGTAGTTTATTTCTTTCAATATTTGAAATATTTCACTCTACTCTCTTGTTGCTTGCATGATTTCTGATGTGACATTCACTTTATTTTTTGGGGGGGGTTGGAGTCTCACTCTGTCGCCCAGACTGGAGTACAGTGACCGCTCCCGGCCACTGCAGCCTCGACCTGCTGGGCTCCGGCAATCCTTCCGCCTCAGCCTTCCAAGTAGCTGGAATTACAGGCACGTGCTACCACACCTGGCTCATTTTTTTGATTTATTGTAGAGATGAGGTCTCACCAAGTTGCCCAGGTGGGTCTCGAACCCGTGGGCTCACCTCAGCCTCCCAAAGACGCCAGATTACAGGCTGAGCCACCGAGCCCGGCTGTGACATTCACTTTAAATCTACCCTTATTTCTCTGTAAGTAGGGTTCTCCCCACTCCCTGAATTATTTCAAGTTTTTCTCTTTGTCTTTGGCTTCTTGCAGATGGGGAGTGTTGGGGAAATTCTTTTTTTTTTTTTTGAGTTGGAGTCTCACTCTGTCACCCAAACTGGAGTGCAGTGGCCATTCCGGCCATTCAGCCTCAATCTGCTGGGCTCCAGTGATCCTTCTGCCTCAGCCTTCCAAGTAACTGGAACTATAGGCACACGCTACCACGCTGGCTAATTTTTGATTTATTGTAGAGATGAGGTCTTGCCAAGTTGTCCAGGCAGGTCTCAAACCCACAGGCTCAGGCAATCCACTCCCAAAGCACTGGGATTACAGGCTGAGCCACCGAGCCCGGCCAGGGAAATCTAATTAAATGAAACAAAATCTCCCAACCCAGAAAAATTCTCCACTAAGGTAGTAGAGACCAAAAAAACCCATTTTTTTGTTTTTGTTTTTGTTTTTTTTGGAGTCAGGGTGTCACTCTGTGACCCAGGCTGGAGTGAGAACAGTGGCTTGATCTAAGCTCACCACAGTCTCAACCTCCTGGACTCAGGTTATCCTTTTATCTCAGCTTTCAGCCTTCCAGGAAGCTGGGACTACAAGTATGCACCACATGCCCAGCTTATTTTTTTTGTTTGTGAAGATGAGGTTTCACTGGGTTGTCTAGGCTGGTCTCAAACTCTGGGCTCAGGCAATTCTCTTGCCTCGGTCTCCCAAAGTGCTGGGATTACAGGTGTGATCCAGCACACCTGGCCAGAAAACACTTATTATTGAGTAAGCATTATGTGTATCACAGGCAGTTTGCTAAGAGGTTGCAAAGACAGAAAGGAATTTCACTCTTATACAACTAAGCAAGTAGAACTCATTCCACACTTTTTTTTTTTTTTTTGAGTTGGAGTCTCACTCTGTTGCCCAGACTGGAGTGCAGTGGCCGCTCCCAGCCACCACAGCCTCGACCTGCTGGGCTCCAGCGATCCTTCTGCCTCAACTGGAACTACAGGCACACGCTAGCACGCTTGGCTAATATTTTTGATTTATTGTAGAGATGAGGTCTCACCAAGTTACCCAGGCAAGTCTCGAACCCGCGGGCTCAGGCAGTTCACTCACCTCGACCTCCCAAAGTGCGGGATTACAGGCTGAGCCACCGAGCCCGGCCCCACACATGTGTTTAAGATCCTAACTTTATCATACAAATTGGGCAGACCACTTGTACTAGCTAATTGCCTTTATCCAGAGAAGATAGAAATTTCTCATAACTTTATGACAGGAATAGTTGTGCAGATCGATGGAAGGTGCCCATTCAAGTTAGGCGCTTATCTTCTACAGGCACTGAGAGTTAAGGAAGATATCTCCTTAGAAGTTTACATTTTGAAAGAATGAGAAAATATTCCTGAGTTGTAAGACTGGCAAGAGGTTTATCAAGCCATTATAAATTGCAAAACACAAAGAAAGAAATTCTGAAAGAAAGGGAGAGGGGGAGAACTTCCCTTATTTGCAGCAGAATTAAGCCTCCTACTTTTAATTTGTATTTGCCATTACAAATATGCTACACCTAGATGTTGTTTTTCTTTCTTGGAGGGGATTTGGAGTCTCACTCTGTCGCTCAGACTGGCGTTCAGTGGCCGCTCCCAGCCACTGCAGCCTCAACTTGCTGGACTCCGGCGATCCTTCCACCTCAGCCTTTCGAGTAGCTGGAACCACAGGCACACGCTACCACGCCCAGCTAATTTTTGATTTATTGTAGAGATGAGGTCTCGCCAAGTTGCCAGGCGGGTCTCGAACCCTTGAGCTCAGGCAATTCACTCACCTCGGCCTCCCAAAGCACGGC